CTCGCGCAGCATCTGAGAGCTCAGAGTTGCGAGAATGTCTTATGCGAAACGGGCCGGACCAACTTGCGCACGGCATAACCCGGAGAAGCAATTAAGGAACCCCCCGGCGTTATCATTAGCACCGCGCCGTAATTAAATAATTATTTGGGGGTTTTCGCCGAGCGATATTATTAGCACCGCGCAAATGGAAGGAAAATAAATAATTCCAGCGCCCCGCCTCGGGTGGCATCCCAATTAGAATTGTAATGAGACTCCGTGGGACCCGTGCGATCTGATGTACCCCCTCCTGGTCCCAGCATAACGCTTCCGGGTGCCGGGTGCGTTATCTTTTCACCGTAGAGGGGGGGGGGGTTCTCTAATCGCTTACTCGGGTTATCAAAGCTCGAAGTTGCAAGGATGTCTCAGGCGAGACGGGCCGGTGTCTCGGGCGAAACGCGCTGCGAGGAAGTCTCAGGCGAAACGCGCCGGACTACCTCGAGCGCGGCGTCTCAGAGCTCCGAGTTGCGGGGGCCTCCTGGTGCCTCCTGGGGCCTCCTGGGGACCTCCTGGGGCTTCCTCCTGGGCCTCCTGTGGCCTCCTGAACTCCACCTGGGGTTTCCTGAAGCCTCTTGGGGCTCCCAGGAGGGATATCTAACCTGTGGCCGCTTGGGCCTCTCAAAATGGAGGGGGGCCACAAGAGCAGGAAAAATCAACGAATCGACACCGACTGTGTATTAACTTGACACGTTCTGATAGAGGGCCTCCTGGGGCCTCCTGGGAGCCTCCCGGGAATCTCCTGCGGGCCCCTGGGGCATGTCCTGGGCGTCCTGCGGCTCCTGGCGCTCTCTGGGGCCTCCTGGGGCTCCCAGGGAGGATATGTAACATGTGGTCTTCTGGGCCCCCAGGCTGGACAACCTCTCGCGCGGCATCTGGGAGCTCAGAGTTGCGAGAATGTCTCGTGCGAAACAGGCCGGACCACCTCGCGCACGGCATCTCAGAGCTCAGAGTTGCAAGGATGTCTCAGGCGAGACGGCCCGGACCACCTCGCGCAGGGCATCTCAGAGCTCAGAAGTTCGAGGATGTCTCAGGCGGGCTCCCAGGGTCCCAGGGAGGATATGTAACATATGGTCTTCTGGGCCCCCAGGCTGGACCGCCTCTTGCCCGGCATCTGGGAGCTCAGAGTTGCGAGAATGTCTTATGCGAAACAGGCCGGACCACCTTGCGCACGGCATCTCAGAGCTCAGAGTTGCGAGGATGTCTCAGGCGAGACGGGCCAGACCACCTCGCGCAGTGCATCTCAGAGCTCAGAAGTTTGAGGATGTCTCAGGCGAAACGGGCCGGACCACCTCTCGCGCGGCATCTCCGAAGTCAAAGTTTCGAGGATGTCTCAGGCGAAGCGGGCCAGACCACCTTGCGCAGGGCATCTCAGAGCTAAAAAATTTGAGGATGTCTCAGGCGAAACGGCCCGGACCACCTCTCGCACGGCACCTCGGGGCTCAGAGCTTCGAGGATGTCTCAAGCGAAACGGCCCGGACCACCTCTCGCGCGGCGTCCCGGAGCGCAACTTTTCGAGGATGTCTCAGGCGAAACGTCCAATCCCGGCCAACTCAGAAACGAGAGTTGTGAGGATGTCTCAAGCGAAACGGCCGGGACCATCAAATTTTTGTGAGGATGTCTCTGCTCCGCGTTCCCTCGGTGGGAGTTAGTTTCTATCACAACAGCACCCCGTTCAGCAAGCTGTTTGGGGAAAAATCAACGAATCGAAACCGGATGTATTAACTTGACACGTTCTGATTGGCGGCCTCCTGGGGCCTCCTGGGAGCCTCCTGGGAATCTCCTGCGGACCCCTGGGGCCTGTCCTGGGCGTCCTGCGGCCTCCTGGTGCCTCCTGGGGCCTTCTGGGGACCTCCTGGGGCTTCCTCCTGGGCCTCCTGTGGCCTCCTGAACTCCACCTGAAGTTTCCTGAAGCCTCTTGGGGCTCCCAGGGGGGATATCTAACCTGTGGCCGCTTGGGCCCCTCAAAATGGAGGGGGGGGCCACAAGAGCAGGAAAAATCAACGAATCGGCACCGGATGTGTATTAACTTGACACGTTCTGATAGAGGGCCTCCTGGGGCCTCCTCGGAGCCTCCTGGGAATCTCCCTGGATGCCCCTGGGGCCTGTCCTGGGTGTCCTGCGGCCTCCTGAAGCTCTCTGGGGCCTCCTGGGGCTCCCAGGGGGGATATGTAACATGTGGTCTTCTGGGCGCCCAGGCTGGACCACCTCTCGCGCAGCATCTGAGAGCTCAGAGTTGCGAGAGTGTCTTGTGCGAAACGGGCCGGACCACCTTGCGCACGGCATCTGAGAGCTCAGAGTTGCAAGGATGTCTCAGGCGAGACGGGCTGGAGCACCTCGCGCAGGGCGTCTCAGAGCTCAAAGTTCGAGGATGTCTCAGGCGAAACGGGCCGGACCACCTCTCGCGCGGCATCTCCGAAGTCAAAGTTTCGAGGATGTCTCAGGCGAAACGGGCCGGACCACCTCGCGCAAGGCATCGCAGAGCTCAGAGTTTCGAGGATGTCTTGTGCGAAACGGGCCGGACCACCTTGCGCACGGCATCTCAGAGCTCAGAGTTGCAAGAATGTCTCAGGCGAGACGGGCCAGACCACCTCGCGCAGTGCATCTCAGAGCTCAGAAGTTCGAGGATGTCTCAGGCGAAACCGGCCGGACCACCTCTCGCGCGGCATCTCCGAAGTCAAAGTTTCGAGGATGTCTCAGGCGAAGCGGGCCAGACCACCTTGCGCAGGGCATCTCAGAGCTCAAAGTTTCGAGGATGTCTCAGACGAAACGGCCCGGACCACCTCTCGCACGGCACCTCGGGGCTCAAAGCTTCGAGGATGTCTCAAGCGAAACGGCCCGGACCACCTCTCGCGCGGCGTCCCGGAGCGCAACTTTTCGAGGATGTCTCAGGCGAAACGGCCAATCCCGGCCAACTCAGAAACGAGAGTTGTGAGGATGTCTCAGCGAAACGGCCAAAACCATAATTTTTTGTGAGGATGTCTCTGCTCCGCGTTCCCTCGGCCGGAGTTAGTTTCTATCACAACAGCACCCCGTTCAGCAAGCTGTTTGGGGAACAATTATCCTGGCGAAGGACTCAACCATACGCAATTGTGAAAACCGCAGGGCAGGCGGGACGAAGCAAAGGGAATTCCCAATGAGGCAACGAACCGTGTGAGGGGTGCGCCAAAATGGGGCGTGGCCGCCATGCGAACCCTGCCACTGGGGTCTTCGGTGGAGCTCCCTATGGGGCCACGAACCGTGTGAGGGGTGCGCCAAAATAGGGCGGGGCCGCCATGCGAACCTTGCCACCCGGGTCTTGGGTGGAGCTCCCATGGGGCCACGAAACGCTGTACTGGGTGGGTGAAACGCAGGGACGGAGGACGAGGAGGAGGAGGGGGAGGAGGAGGAGGAGGCGGGAGGGAGAGAGGGACTCAGGACGCAGTCTCTTCGAAACGAGGACCCAACACCGCAGGATGGTTGGGAAATGCTAACAAAATCGTCCCCAGAATATGTTTCGCCTATTTTTGAATCTTCCTCCTGTAAAGGGACAGACCCGACTTGAGGCTGGCGGGGCCCTGGAAACGACATGGCAATTTTCTACCGGTTCCGTTTTGCCGTCTTTGTTGCCAATTCCGACGCCGTTTTTGTTACCGGTTCCGTCGCCGTTTTCTTAGCGGTTTTGGCCCCGGGTCCAATGCTGGAGCCGTTTTTGTTGCCGTTTCCAGTCGCCCTTTTTGTTGCCGTTTTCATGTTCAAAATACTTTTTCGGAAACGGTGAGAAAACGGCCCCTGCCGTTTTCGGGGCCGACTAAGGGCTGGCCGTTCAGAAACTAGAGGCGGCTCGAAGCTGGAGAGACGGAGAGATGGCTGAAAATCCACCCCCAGAATAATCACCCCGACACGCAAGGCCGTTCGGTAACGGACCCACAGAAGGAAACGCCCGGGGCCGTTTAGCAAACGCCAATTATATCGGGTCCGGGTGGGCTTTCCTCCCTTGAAGATGGGAACGGGCGCCGGCATCGCAGAGCTGGGCGCGGGAGTCGGCCAGGCGGGGCCCATGAAGGCAGACACCCACGATCCACTGCGCGCCGGAGTCGGGGGACTGGGGGCCTCTTGGGAGCCTTCAGGGAGTCTCTTGGGGGCCTCTTGGGGCCTCTTGGGGCCTCCTGGGGACCTCTTGGGGCCTCCTGAGAGCCTCTGGGGCCGAAAGCTCGGAATTTGAATCTGGTTTTCCGCACCTCTGGGACCCCTGTGGGGCTCGTCCTGAGGCTCTCTCGGGCTGTCTTGGGGGCCTCTCGGGCCGTCTTGGGAGCCGCAGCCGGGGCTGGAGTCGGGCGTCACTCCCGACACCGCTCGCACCGCTCAGCCCTGCACGATGCACGCGGTGCTCCCCTGGCGGAGTCGGGAAGAGGGAGGCGGGGGAGAGAGGAGGAGAAGGAAAAAACATAAAACAGAGAAGGAGGACGACGAGAACGAGGAGGAGGAGGACAAGGAGGACAAGGAGGAGGAGGAGGAGGAGGAGGAGGAGGACAAGGAGGAGGAGGAGGAGGAGGAGGAGGCCGCTCGACCGCGGCCGCCATCGACGCCGGCGTTGCTCGGCCCGGGGTGCCCGCGCTGGGCCCCGCCCCCCGTGGTGCCAGGGCGGCACGGGCCCGCCGTGCTCCCTCCGCGCCCTGCTGCTCCGCACAGCTGCCGCGGCCGCCTCCCGCGCTTCTAAGAGGCCTCCACGATGGGGTCCGAGCAGATGGGGTCGGAGGAACTCGCCGCATCGCCGAGACATCGGCGATGCATCGGCGATGCATCGGCCATGCACTGGCGACGTCGGCGTGGAGAAAATTGGGCCCCACATGGAGCTGTATCGATGATGCATCGCCGATCCAGCGGCGATGCGGCGCGACCGCCCGACCCCATCTACTCGGACCCCATCGAGGAAGCCCCGAGCTTCTGTGCTGTGCGGTCTTCCTTTTTTTTTCGGCGGCGCCACCCTACAGCGCGCCGAAGATGGGCCCGGCGGCCAGGTCCCACTGCGCCTGCCAGCCTCTGCCCTCGAACTTCCGCCGCGCCTTCTCGGCGAAGGCCGCCCGCTCCTGTCGGCCGCGCGGGCCAGGGTGGGGGAGGAGGCGGGCCTTCTACCCTACAGTCGGACCTGACCGGGCAGTAATTGTCACGGGTGGCCCAGGGTTCTGTGACTCTGTACTCTGCATGGGGGGGGACGAGGGAAAAGAGGGGGAAGACGAGGCCGAAGGGAAAGCAACGACGACCCCAAAGCGCAGAAACGGCTCGGTCGAGAAACACATCCTCCAAGAGCACGAGGCTCTCCGCCAGCCAAGACGCATGGAGCATCGAAGGGTCGCCTCCCCAGGGTGGAGAAAAACAGCCCACAAACAAGCAAAACAGTCGGGTACCGTCCCGGAGCGGACCTCGCTCCTATACCTCGGTCCGACTTCGGGTTTGGGGTCATAACTCGGCTCTCCGGTGGCCGTTCGGGACGATCTGGGCACCTCCAGAAAGCTCTTGGGGAGGCCGCGGCCGCTGGAACGCATCCAGAGCGCGGAAAACCGACAGGAGTGTACGAAAACACTTGGAATACCCTCCCCGAGCCGACCTCGATCTTATACCCTGGTCCGATCGTGCTCTTCCTGGGAGGCCCTTCCTCCCTTTGCTTTGCCGCCGTCCTGCTTTTTCCCCCTCCTCTAGAGGGCCCTGCGTCGAGGGGAGGGGGGGGAGGCTTTATGGAGGCAACTGCTGGGAAACTTTCGTGGGGCGCGATTGAGGGGCCATCGACCCGGAATAAACTTGCCATCGCTCGGACGTTTATTATCCTGCTATGTTTTGGTTTCGCGCGTCTAGTTTTTCACAGGATGATCCAGGATGCTCCACGATGGTCCCCGGCGAGACGAATGCACACCGCCGAGCGATGCCAAGTAAAAGGGCACTGGGCTGGAATGGCCCAGGAGTGAGCCAAGGATCAAGCCGAACGAGAAATCACAAAGCGGCGTTGAGCGGGACTCTGCCAGAGCAGGCTGGGTTTCGACCGCGGATGCACCAGCGCCGATATTGAGTCCCACCAGCCCACTGGGCGCAGGTGGCCCAAGGATGTCCTTCTTTCCTCTTCCAAGAGCCCCTCTTCCCCTTCGGGGAGGGGTCCACCCCTCTCTTCACCCCCCCCCCCCTGGACCTGGACGGGGGGGGGTCTGCGAGGTGACAAGGGCCCCTTTCCTGTCAATGTGGCTCGAAGATTGCCCCAGAGCAAGATCACTGAAATATAGCTCAGCATGGCCCAAGAAAACTAACAACATGCTCACAAGAGGCCCCGAGAGGGCCACAAGACGGTTCCAGGTGCTCCCAGAACTCCCTCCTGAGGCCCCTTCCGATGCTCCCGCTCCTCGTCCTTCCCCTCCTGGGGCTTCGGCACGCTCTGCATCTGTCCATTCCCTGACCGAAAATGGCAGAGCGTGCTTGGTTTGTCTCAGCCTTACCACGACAGACAATGAATCCCAATGGCAATCAAATGCTTGCGTTCCTCCTCCCCCCGTGAACTCAAAGTTATCCCGACTAGGTAGGTGGCTAGACGCATTCATCACGCACCCTTCCGTATCACAAAGACCCTGAAGTAAGGTTTCGTGGGGGTCGTGCGGATTTGTTCGGTTAGTCCCAGCTCGAGAAGATTGGGTAATCCTTGTCGCCCCCACTGACTCACCGAGGCCAGGCGCGAGTACCTTGACAGGTTAGATCGCGACCTGTTTCCCAAGTGCTGACCTCAGCTTGGTATTGCTACGTGATGGCGGAAATCCTGGAACATCCTCATCTATCCCTTTCCCCTCCTCCTCCTCCTCCTCCTCCTTTTCCTCCTCCTCCTCCTCCTCCTCCCGCCACCCTCACATCTGATAAAATGCCATGGGCCCTCCTTGGTGGCGCGCGACACTGCCGTGGCCAGACCGGCGGAGTCCGAGAAGAGGATGCCGTCCTGCCGCGAGGACTACATAGGCGACATCGCCGTGGCGAAGCGAATTGATGCCCGCCACCTCGTCTCCTCCCCGACGATCGAAGAAGTGCGTGTTTTCAAAATGTGCTTCCCATCGGGAAGATCTCCCAATCATGGGCCCGGTACCAGCATAGATCGATCCGACCAGGAATATGCCGCAGAAAGATTGAGTCTAGGGTTCCTGCCGCGATTGCTCGCGATGTATCATTTTGACGCAAAGTCGTATCACTGGGTCCCTTCAACTCGTCCTCGTCCATGGCCAAGAGAGGCGTGAGAGGAAGGGACAACCAAGAGGAAGAGGAGAAGGAGGTGAAGGAGGGGGCGGCAGCCGACGACTTCTCACGCCACAAAGTTCTAGGCTCTAGGAGGAGGAGGAGGAAAAGGAGGAGGAGAGGGATATCATAATTGGGAGGATTCGGAGAGCGAGAAGGATGGCCAGAGGAATGAGGCGAATGAGTGGAGAGGGTCACCATGATTACGATATCCATGAATCGGGGACGTGGAGACATGGGAGCCAGGGGATGGGGAGCGGCCTTGTCAGAGGACGTGGACGAAGGTCGAATCAGTAAGAGCCCTACAACCGCGGTCGGAAAAACATCCTTCAAGAACATGAGACCCCCGCCGGCCAAAACACACAGGACATCGTAGTGACCCTCCCCAGGATGCACGAAGACATCCAACAAACACGAAGAACACCAGGGAACCCTCCCCGAACCGACCTCGATCTTATACCTGGGACCGACCGTATATCCTTGCCACAACTTTGGCAGGCTGACCCGCTTTGTGTATCAGTGACAGCATGAATTACCCAACTGCGTGAAGCTGTAAACTCGCGGACCCCATCGGGCTTCTCTCGGCGCGTTGAATCCCTACCCTTCCTCAAGCTTTTTTCCCTAGAGGCGGGTCTGACTGGTTTGAAGGGTGGGGGGGGGCAGGGCGCGCTGCGTTGCGGAGGCGGCGGAGGTGGCGCTTGACCCCCAGCATGCGTCCCAGACGCACCCAGGGGGGCAGGAAGCCCACAGGAATGCCCTGGAGACGACAAACTCCCCGAAAAACCCACTGTTGCACACCTGCCGCAGTGCCAAGAGGCATTGAAGGTCGGTGTCGTAACCTTGGAAAGTTGGGGCGGAGCAGCGGAGGGCCGAAAACGGGAAGAACAAGCCCCAGCCCTGGAAAAGGGAACGGCCCAGCCCTGGAAAGCGTGCGTGTGACCTAACCCCAGAAACGGGAAAGGCCCAGCCCTGGACACCCCGGCCCAGGCATTGGAAAGCACGGCGGATGGAAGAGGAGAGGGAGGAGGAGGAGGAGGAGGAGGAGGAGGAGGAAGAGGAGGAGGAGGAGGAGGAGGAGGGGGAGGAGGAGGAGGAAGAGGATGCGGAGGGAGGAGGAGGAGGAGGAGAGGAGGAGGAGGAGGAGGACGAGGAGGAGGAGGAGGAGGAGGAGAGGGAGGAAAAAGGAGGGGGAGGAGGAAAAGGAGGAAGAGAGGAGGAGGAGAGGGAGGAGGAGGAGGAAGAGGAGGAGGAGGAGGAGGAGGAGGAGGAGGGGGAGGAGGAGGAGGAGGAGGAGGAGTAGGAGAGGGAGGGAAGGAGGAGGAGGATGAGGAAGAGGAGGAGGAGGAGGAGGAGGAGGAGGAGAGGAGGAGGAGGAGGAGGAGGAGGAGGAGGAGGAGGAGGAGGAGGAGGAGAGGGAGGAAGAGGGGGAGGAGGAGGAGGAGGAGAGGAGGAAAAGGAGGAGGAGGAGGGGGAGGAGGAGGAGGAGGAGGAGGAGGAAGAACGCAGGAAGCAGAGGCCCGTGCCGGGCACGGCAGATGACGCCAAGCTCGGCGCGCCCCGCGGGCGCCGAGCGGCGGCGGGGGCACCGAGCACAGGTGAGCACGGCAGGAGCACAAAGAGGAACACGAGGATGAAGAGGCATTTCCCCGGCGTGGGCAATGACGCCAGGCACATAAGACGTCTGCCAATTGCTCGATCGGCTCCGAACGAGTCCAGCATCACCGAACGCAGCTTGCACGGCATCTCTTGGCAGACATCGCTCGACCTGGAACTGTGTTTTCTGTAAGTTGCTGCAGGAAAGACCGCCCCCCTTCAGGCCGAGATGGGGGGGGGGGGGGGGCGTTGGAATCCGGAGGTACAAGCGCGTGCGCGGGCGTCAAATCGCACTGCTCCAGCGCCAGCTACATCTCCTGACTGCACAGCTCCAGCTGACGCTTGTCCAGTCGTGGTGGCTGCATTGGCAAGGCAGCAGTGCCAGTTTCGCCACCTCGAGCAGCCTCGCCGCCCTCTGTCTTTCGCTTCTTTCCAGCCGGCCTGGCTTGCAGCGCCTGATGAGTGGCCTGCGCAGCCGTGGCCTGGCCGGCCGCCTCGTGGAAGAGCTCCTTCGCAATGCCAATGATGCCCTTGGACAACTCGGACGTGCGCTTTGCATCTCGCCTCGGTCCTCGGCGGGCAGCTCCATGTCGTCGTCCCTCCTGTAGTCCACCAGGATGTCGCAGCTGACGAGGGGGCCGAAGTCGACGGAGCCAGCCAGCATAAGTTCCAATCTGAGACGCGCAGGCCCAAACGAAACTGAAACCTTCGACTCCTCGGCAAGCTTCTGCACGGCCTCCTTGTGCTCACGATTGGCCTCGGATAAGCCGGCGCGCGCGGGACCTCCTCTCGGCCTGGTCCTGGACCTCCGACCGCAGGCGAAGGACGCGCGAAAGCTCATTATCCAACTGCTTCTCTAACCGACGAACCTGAACATGTTGCTGCTGGGTAGCCTGGTGTACCGTCGGTACCTGCTTAGCAAGGGCCTCCGAAGCCATCAGATTCTTCGCGATGCCTGAATACTTACCTGACCGAGCTTTGTCTCCGACCTTCTCGCTCAACCGTGAAAACTCGACGGCCTCGTCCTTGGACAGGTTGGGCACGGCACCGACGGGTAGAAAAGGGACATCACCACCTCGCGAAGCACCATGCAAATGAAGCTCATCTCCACGGGGAAATGCCAAGCTGTAGCCTTTGCCCTAACCCTCTTTGTCGCCGCCGCCCTTGCAACCGAGCTGGAATCCCTTGCCGTAGCCTCCAACTTTTCCTGCCACGAAGACAGAGCCATTCCAGAACGAACCAATGGGGGCCGAGGGCGAGGATGCGGACCATGAGCTTGAGCCACGGGCATGCGGCCGAGAGGCAGGCGAAGGAGAGGAGTGAAACTATGCTTGCACCAATAATCAGATGGTGCTTCTTACAGACGCAGACCTTACAGGCCATGCCCTGACCGTTGGTGTTGTGCCTCCAACTGCGGCCATCTCCCTTGACACTCCACTCGGCCTGTGTCCCCTAATTTCGCACCCACGGCGCATACAAGAAAGAACAAACTTGAAGTAACTCCGGGGAAAGTGGCATGTCCTGAATCAGAACGCAATTTAGCTGCGAAAGCTTGCGGGCAAAAACCAGGAGGAGGAGGAGGAGGAGGAGGAGGAGAGGAGGAGGAGGAGGAGGAGGAGGAGGAGGAGGAGGGCAGGAGGAGGAGGAGGAGGAGGAGGAGGAGGAGGGGAGGAGGAGGAGGAGGAGGAGGAGGAGGAGGAGAGGAGGAGGATGAGGAGGAGGAAAAGGAGAAGGAGGAGGAGGAGGAAGAGGGGGGACAATCTAAATGCGCTCGACTCATGTACGACGTTTCCCTCGGTCTCATCCCTTACAGTGGCGTAGATATCCAATCTGTACGCAAACAGTCGGATGCCAGGGCAATGGTCGGGAGAGGCTTCGCGATGCTTGGTAGGGCACGGCGTGGCATGACGTAGAAAAGCACGGCTGAGCGTGGCATGCCATAGCATGGCGCGGCACTTCGCAATGGCACGTTGCATCGCAAAGCCGCAAAGCGCTGCACCGCAAAACATGGCATCACACAGCGGCGCAACATACACCACCGCGCAACATGTCATGTCATGGCGCGCGGTTCCTTGGAGGGTACGTGGGTCGTCTTCGAGAGGTCAGGCTGGTCTGGAATCGTGGCTCCATGTCTAGCTCCTTTGGTTCCCCGATAAGCTCCACACAGTGCGAGGCTGATGGAGAACACCCGCTGGCTCCGCTTTCAACAACACCTTCTCAACACAGAAACGAGACTCCCGCTTAATACTTCTTGAAAGCGACGGCGCCCCAAAGTGGGGGGGCTTCCGCGGCCCAGCAAACATCAACGATTCGACACCGAATGTGCAATTGCTTCCGATGTATTTTGTCAGGGGGGCATGTTCTATATGTTGGGGCCTACTTGGAAGGGAAACGAACACGCTCTCCAGCGGCAACACCATTTGGAACAACCAGAGGCGCAAACATGTGGCCAACGGTTCCGTGGGAACACCAGGTTGAAAACATTTGGTAGTCCCCAAACGTGGTGGTGACAACACCTGGCGGTGAACCTCG